GACTTGTACAAAATCCTGTTGTCTGACACCGCACGGTTGGTCAGCTCTTGCCCGTCCACGCGCCGCCCGGCGTATGACTGACTGACTGACTGACTGACTGACTGACAAGGTTCTTGCAGGAGATATTTACAGAGCTGATTGCCATTTCTTGCCGCAGGCCTGCATGGACACCATTTTTACTTTGAACCGCGCATGGCACAGGGGTGTGCATCGTGTAAACAAGGCTGAATACTTTGAGAATCCGTTTGCCAAAGCCTCAGTGATGCCATATTCCGGAAGCCAGATACTTCTTTGCAACCTGATCTGCAAAAGGCCAATACAACCGCTATCGACAATCGAAACCTTCCAGAGTCTTTCAACGCACTGATGTTGCACCCCCAGTTTGACTTCAGATCTTTAGGAAAGCAGTGTGCTGCACATTCGGCCTGCAAGCGAACATCGCAGCAGCAGAACTTCAGCCTGCAACCCGAGGGTAGAGCGTGGATACTTCAACATCACCATGCCGGTTCCCCAGAGAGACTCCAGTATTTGCAAGTAGGTGGTCGAGGCTTTAAGTGGGATTTTTGCAGATTCCAGGTTCATGCCATTCTGGATCCTGCTTCAGGCCCCATACCATACACAATTATGTGTGCAACAACATTAGTCGCGCTCTCAGACAAGCTGCAGCTTCCAAGCTTTATTCATTGGAGCTGAGGTGCGTATAGCCTCGCAGAGGATGTCAAAGCTCTGATCCGAAGGGTCTATGCTAGGCAGACAGGGGAAAGAGCGCATCAGTGAATCAGGCAAAAGTATCCCGGCAAAGTCCATGTGCGCCATGGCGCAGGGACTTTGACCTGATCTGCAATCTGTTTGGGTATTGCGACAGGGAAGAGGCCTAGAAATATCCAGGGCAACTGACCGGCACTTGTTTATGTCTTTGCCAGGTGACCTGCCTTGGCCAAGTCCCTAACATGCCCAGGTCCTAGTGCACAAAGGCTGCAGATGTGACGCACAAGACATTACCACCATTGTTGAGGTGCGGTGGCAAACCTGGTGTGAACTCTACAGCCTTCTCAGCCAATGCAGACAAGGACAGCTCTCCCTGGTTAGAGCAACCACAGCACAGCTGGCACGCTGCTAGCGAGGACGTCCGCTCCAAGTACTTCCCCAAGTGGCCTTGTGGCAAGCCTGGCGAAGCCTCTTGAGCGGCAGACGTAGCATTCATAGTGGTTCAAGAATCGTGGGAGATACCAAAGAGCAGACCAAGTCGTCTGGGCCAGAGGCAACTGCTGAAGGCAAAAAAAAGCTTATTGCTTGCTCTTGTTCATGACAGCGCTTGCATGAGCATGGATTGCTTAACAGCCTATGTAAGATTAAGTTCAGTGTCCAGCGAAGGCGCCTTCAATAGCGGATGCTTTTGGAGCTGCTCCTTCCTGAGTTTGCCCATCGCGTCTTCCATATGCTAGTCAACCCAATCCCCGAAACAACAGATCAAGGGCTGCCCCCTTATTTCCAAGCTGCCAGCAGCTCATACTCCATCTAGTTCTTGGACAACTTGCTCACTTCTGCTTTACCGTCATAACATGTACAGTTGCCAATGTTTGATAAGGCCAGACTTCTCGAAGCAGGCCCACTTCGGTATGCAAACCCTTGGGCTGGCATGTATCGCTACTTTTCCCTGCCGCGCCTGCAGTAGCTCCAGAATCGAATGCCTCCAGTGCCTCCCTTGCGATGCCAGCAGCTGAGTGCCTTTGACTCTGAGTTTTAAGCTCTGGGCGGGGCGTAATATAAGCTGATGGAGTCGAGTTGTTGTGACCCATGATGCGGCAGTCTGCAGCTGTCTGCCTAGCATCCACAGACGCGGCGTCACTGCAGCCATGGATGCTGGGCTTGCCGGCTCCAGACATACACCAGTGGTTTATGTATCTAGCCCGCATAAATGTAACATAGACCAACCACTTGGATTCAAGTTGAATTCTATTCGAATCCTGTGACCGGCATAGGTGGCTCCGCTGCTTGCTTTGGGGCTCGCGTTCCTGTATTTGTATCGCCTTTTTCTGGACTGGGTGGAGAGGACAGATGCAGGGCAGCACATCTCATGCGCAACTTGCGCAGGCATTGTCGGCAGGCGCAGCAGTCTTAGCTTGCTGGAGGAACCTGCCAGATGGCGCACCACGCATGGATGCGTACGAGAATTTACTCTCGCTTGAGCAGGCAAGTTTCTTGTTGTCTCCCCACATATTTTCGAGACGCAAGGGTGGAATCAGTCGAGTTTGATACGCGATTGTCCTTCTTGTAATTCCTTTCTCCTCTGTGCAAGCCCTGGTCCCAGAAGACTTTGAGGTGTGATCCCAAGAACCCTGCACACACATCGGCATCGGAACCTGGACCTCAACTTTCAGTGGCGAGTCCTCAGCCTCAAGCCACATCCCAGTTCGTCGCGATTGTGGCTCTGTAACCACCACGGGCTGAAGCTAGAGGCTACAAGCAGTCCAACGAGAGGAAGAGCGTTAGTGAGACAGCTCTGAGCGGCGTGGAGCAGAGTTCCCCAGAGCGATCCTCGAAATTCTGCCAAGCAATCTCCACGAATGGTTCCTTACCTGCAGAACAGCACCGGACAAGGCAAAGTGAACGTTCAGGGTCAAGTGTGACGTTTGGGCGTCCATCGACGAAACCAATCCCTGGCACCTTGCAGCACTCGGCAGTTTCATTTTCTTCGCAAGCCTCTACGTGCAAAGGGAGGAGCAGCCTTTCGCATTCGACAACCCCCAGCAGCAGAAACAAGCACCAGCATGTTGCATGCATGCATAAACAAACTGTGAAAAGTGTGTTCGAAAGTTTTGAATGAGATCCTAACTGCCCAGAGACGACGTCAGACATTCATCTCCGAGTTGGTACACCTATCGCACGGTATTGTATATGGTGCAGAATTGCCATGCTGCCAGACAGATGCTACCACGCCTTGGTACTGGCGGTGGCACTCCAATTGGCTTCGGGTCTGGCCTGAGAGAATCTTTGAGGAGGGAAGTCAGCTACAGGGAGTATTTGTCACAAAATCGCTGTAGCAATTGCAACGTCGAAGGATGTGCTGCGGATTGTCCACTACTACACTGTCGTTTATGTCTCTTGTTGGCAACCTTTACTTTTGCGTCAGTTGCGTTCCAGCACGCTTTTCATGCTCCCCAGCAGTTGCTAAACTCCCAGGTGGTGTGCGGATACTTGATCTGCATTGAGCTCCAGAGCTCCTTCAGGCAGGAGGCTAGCGGCCAGAAAAAATGCGATCCATGTGCACAGATGGAGCAGGCTGCTGTCCCAGACGAAGTGGCTGGATCCCGCAAGCCTGCACGAAGCGTTTCAGGAGGAAAGCGACTTGCCAGAATGGCCTTCCTCTCAGACAAAAACCAACATACGAAATACAGATGTTCCAGTAGGGCATTGAAAGCACGAGTCATTGAGTCAAAGAGGTGGGAAAGTGAAGTGCAAGATCTGCTTCCTGGTGGCTCTGGGCTGCTGCGCGGTGTCTCACTGACCGCTCCTGTGTTTCTACTTCTGACGTATGGAGTATGTATGACCAACACTGCCCGTCACGCTTCTCAGTCGGAACTTGGCCAGACTGCTTGAAATAGTTCATGCGACCAGCAGGATAGGCTTCAGGATTTCTAGAATCGTTATTTTGTCCTGGATCTAGGTGTGCAAAATATGGGGACAAGGCAGGCTCCGCGACAATCCAGGAATCGACAGCAGCATTATGGTCGTGGCTTTACCAATGATATCCTGCATGATGGCGTACCGGTCTGTGACACGCATGTGGATGATCTGTGCAAACAGCAAAGTTGGTAGCCTGGGTTACGTGGAGGACTTCAATTGCGAGAAGACCTGGCTTGCGCGCCTAGTGGTTTGTCAGAACATGCATCCCGAGCGTGAAGAGCAACGCGTTGTGTTTTCCATATATACTACTACGTCTCACTTAGTCACCAGCAAAAAGCCATGTCTGCACTGAGACAATCAGGTACAACACTAATTTGCTCTTGGCTGATGTGTACGAGTCCTGGGCTTTGCTGCACTTCGCCGATCTGGCGCTGAAAATCATTACTGCCTCCCAGACAAAGCAAGTACAGACGATCAGCGACCGGGATGTCACAGACAATGTGGCGGCACGCATGGGGAAAAGCCTCCACAGCCTGACAAAACAAGGCCTCTGGCAGAAAATGCTCATAGGCTTTTTTCCGGACAGTAAACATTAAGACATGATACATTGGACGCGTACATGAGGGCATTTATGGCCAGGTCTATCTTTGTTTTCGCTTCTTGTCAACTTGTTTAATAGTGCGGCAGGAGTTTATCTCTTCATGGGAACCTGCTTCATGCAAGCAATCTACCACCTCCTGACAACATCAGTGGAAGCCTATCTGGGTGGAGCCGTTACTCTGCCATTTAGTCAGACGGTCTACCGAATTCGGACGCAAGTACATTATTTGTTTCTGGGAATGGGTATCGTGGCATCGACCGCTGCAATCAACAACGTCATCACCGTTGAGTTTCTTTGCAGATTCTGTAGTGCCAAGCAGCTTCATGAGGCAGTGTTTCTGTGTGGGGAGCTAGGTGGAGCCAGCAGCATTATCCATCGCTTATACGAACACTCAGGCGGACTTTTGCCGAGTCCTTGAAGCATTTCGAACCTGACCTTAAATTTTGGTCCATCAAGATTTTGTTGACGCTTGGATTCATGCACCTTGGACCTGATGAGAGTATAAAGCAGCTCCAGGGCTGATTCCTTACACGGTGAGGGGCGCCAGTGAACGCAAGGCAGTCAATGCTCCTGGAGATTCCTCCGTTGTCCTACCTGTCAGTGACGGAGCAGGACGCGCCATGACCAGAACATGTCCAACTCATTCATCCCGCGCCAGCTTCATTTGTATGCAGGACCTTTTCTACGCTTCCATTCTCTCGGCAGAGTGCTTCGGAGTGAGTCTCCTACAATGGCGGGCCTGGAAGCCTTCTGAGAAATGGCTGGAGGATTTGAGAGATGCGCAATTACAAATGCATGAGCCTACCTCTTCGCGCTGGACACCGATACATTAGGGGCTGGCCCTTTGAACTGATTCACAATGGATGGAATTTCCGGAGAAGATGTTCTAATACTTGGCGGACGAGGGAATGTGATGGTGGGGCTCGCTGCCTAAGCCTGCACAACCCCAGAAGCCTGCATGGAAATGCAAAAGTTGTCCACTTGTTGAGGACGCACTAGGGTCACGCCTCTTGAAAAGCCATGACGAGCCACGTCCGTATCAAAGCCTTATCTCAGCCTTCTATTGCCTGAAGATTCACACTTGTACTAAGCCGCTACTGCTGGCAAGTAGAGACGGCAGCAATGAAAGGTCCATGAACGGATTTACGATGGCCCGCGACACGCGTCTTCAACGGGACTGCCGGCTAGTGCTTCTGTCGTCTGCTCAAGGAATGATGATGCCCACGACAGAGCTGATCTTGAAGTGCAAGCCATCCAGTATTCGGCTCAAGACAGATCGACCCCTTTTCCAGCCTTCTGTTTTGGACCGTAACAGTTGCCAAAGCCTTAGTATAATGCAAAAGTGCTCCATGCAGAGCATGCTGAAAGGCCAGTGAAATGATGGCATGATAACATATGCAGATCTGTGCTTCTGCTGCTTCATGGTGACTGCTGTACCCAGCTCAACCTACGGTGCAAGGAATCTTGCGCCCTTTTTATGCACTCTTTACCCGTGGATGTTCGGTAATTGGGGGTCTCCTACATCTACATTGAGCCATACGTGCATACTGCTTCCAGAGCTGCTGTGCACATCGGCTGACATCAGCGGGTCCCACATCACTTGCACTGAAGCATGGAAGACGGGTTCTCAAACGGATGTACAGAAGAATGCGATGGGCTGAATGAACATGGCAGCGCTTATGGACGGTTTTTCTTGTCTGCATGAGATGAGACCATGGCACTGGCTAAAGACTTTAGAGCAATTTCTCATATGTTAATTCCTGGGTGCTTCCGAGGTCCTGGGGCAAGCGATGGGGCAAGGTTTGGGCAAGGATTTTTGTTGCGCTCAGAGGTCACAGGCGAGCAATGGCGGCCCGGCTTAGCAGCACGTCACTTCAACCCTTGCTCATGTTGGCTATCTTGCCTGGCCTTCTCATTTGACTGAGGCTGTCATTCAAAGGCCTCTTCTGCGCCGGCATCTCAAGAGCCCCCGCAAGGCGAGGCCAACATCACCCCAGCACTGGAAATGATTGCAGCTGGGGTTGGGGGGTTTAAATGATTGCCGAGGAGGTCTTGGAGCGTGACCGACAAGGGGTTTGGGTGGAGGGGTTGGGAATTAATTGCGGAGGCAGGGTGGGGAGGTGCGGGGGTCTTCCTACCTGATATTGTCTGTGCAAGCCACGGCTCTATCTTGAACCCTTCTGCAAAGAGGAACATTGGAAATCGATTCAGCCGGTGGCCGAAGTTAAAACATTACGCCGTATCTGACGGTAACCGCGTTGTTCCAACGAAAGACCAGAGACCTACCACCCATGGAGAAGAGACATTTCTAAAACAATAATTCCGAGACAGGGCGGGACATGATTGCAGAGGAGGGTGGGTGGTTGGGGCTGTCTTGCAGTCACTTTCCTATCCTGACTGGTTGTTTGCAGAAGACGAGACGGGGGGGTTCGGGCCAGAGAAATCATTGGGGGGGTGATTGGCCAGAAATGATTGCAGAGGGGTGTAGGAGGATATGCAAGAAATGGCCGCAAGAAGTGTCATAGGAAGCCGACCTATTGGGGTCCGCTTAAGTACCGGGAGATGCCCCCTCATGCCTTTGTTGGTTTTTTTAAGTATTTGGCCCCAGAAAACGATTGAGGAGCTTGATGATGCAAACAGGCCTCGGTTCCCTGAGCTAGGAACCCTATTTGGACACCTGTCCGAAGCCTGCTCTTACATGGCTTTCCTTCATTTTGGAGTTTGAGAGGCCTGACATGACTGTCGCTTTGTCAACCCTTCTGCCCAACAGAGGATTCTGCCCAACAGAGGAGACTGAACCTATGCGGATCTAAGCGGGTTGTGTTCAACCTTGGTTTGAGACTCGCACTTGGGAAATTTAGCTTTAGCCGCCATGGCAGTCGGCAGCAGAAGAGTAGCATGTGCTTGTGAATGCCACAAAAGGCGAGCCTCAAGCAGAGCTGAGCCCGGCCACACTCTCGCCCTCGCCACCTGTGTCCACGGACGTTTCTGAAGGCTCAAAATCAATTTCCAGCCATCTTTGAAGTACTCCCTGCTGCTATTTGCAGGCGACGTCATCAATGTGGATTGCGGCGAAGCCGCCAAGTCCAAAGATCAATCGAAGGGCTGCGAAGAGCCCCCTACCGATACAGGCCTAGCCTCAGCATGCATTAGTATCATGCCTGAAGTTCTAGTTCATTGGTTGAGGTGATGTTGGCTGCCCAGTGGAGGCACGACAGACCAAAGTAAAGCTCATACGTTGCAGCAGAGGTGAGCAGTTGGATGACATGAATTGAGGCTGGGGTGCCAAGCAACGGCGCCATGCCTGACTCCGAGGAGCTGACCTCATCGCCACAGGCCTGGAAGACTGGCGATGCCACTTGCATTGCACTTGTCCTGTATTGCTGAAAAGAGGTTGCTGCACCGAAACCATCGGATGCACCGGACAGGACACAAGTGCTAAGATTGCTATGCATGTATTGAGTTTGGC